GAATCGTGTGAGACACTTTGTTCCCCTGCTCCAAATTCTCCTCAAGTCTGAGCTGAAGGCCCTACACTTGAGTTCATTAGCCCCAGCCAATGACTTGGAACTTGGACTTGGAACTTGCTCCTCTTACTGTGCATTTACTTGTAGCACCCACACAGTTACACTCTATTAGAGGCTGCTAACTGGCCTCTAACAACTTTAAATTAAAGTGTGCCCCTTTTGATAATTCTGAACCCTGCAGAGTATTGTCCATGATTCCTAAACTCTCAAATTTACGTCTCAGTATTTGTCTCCGAAGTCAAAAACAAATGCTTCTTTTTTTGCTATTATTTCTTGGCAGGGTTCCAAAAACTACCAAGTTTGCAGGCATTTATGGTGGCCCTGTAGTGCTTTTCTCTAAATCTGCACCCCTACCTCCCAACCCCTGGTTGATTTCCAAGGACTTTGTGGCAACTTCCTACAATAGAACTACCTTAAAAAGCTTTGGATAAAATATGGCTCCAAGCCACAGAGCGCAAAGGCTTATGTCCTTGAGTGTCCCATGGAAGGTCAGCAAGACGTTTCTGAACTGGAACACTTTCCAGGTGTCATTTGGGGTAAACACACCATGTTTGCCCAAACAGAAAGCTGTTTACAGGTTTTCTGTCTGGAAGAAGCCATTATCAGCTTTTGGTGGCTTATCAGTTATTCTATGGCTTATCACTTGACTAGCAGTCAATGTTCTCTTCCTTATGCTTTTTCTCTTACTCCTTTTATCCAAGAAGTAATGAATATAGAAATGTTGACTGAAATTGCCCAAGGTTGCCCAGACTCTGGCAAGTTTGATGAGCCTTAATTAAGAATGCTGGAGAAAATGTCTTTAACCAGGAATAATAGGATTTCTTTATCGTTGTTGTTCTACACTGTAACCTAATATATGCTTTGTAGTTGCTAACAGTTACTTAATATCTTAACACAGAAGAAATGAAGAGTTGTCTTAACATCTAGAGAGGAAGTTGAATATGAAATTTGTTTCCTAGAAAAGTTTCCCCAAATTGAATCGTTTGGTAGGATGGCCAGATCTGACTTTTCCGGTGCTGGGAGGGTGACAAGGAGTAGAGAACTGAATGCCTGTTCTCTTCCGTGGACCATGCAGTAGGCACAGTGGCCCCATCAGGGGCTGAAGAGCTGAGGCCAGGGGATAATAAATGGCTCACCCAAGGTCACCTGATTAGATAGTTGTGGAATAAGAATTCAAGTTCAGGTGTCCCTACTTTCAGACACTTGACTCCACACTATCTCCATAAAAACTGAAAGATGCTTCACCACTAAATAGCCAGTGAATGGTACTGGATATCCATTGTGCTCCTCTCTATCTTCAAGAGAGAATTCACGTTTTTCCATTTAAAAGCATGCAAGTGTTTGTTGACTAACTTCTACTAAATCTACTCTACTTTCTTTTGTTCTAGATTTTCTACCCCAGTAAGGATGGTACAAAGATTCCAATGTTCATTGTACATAAAAAGGGCATAAAATTGGATGGCTCTCATCCTGCTTTCTTATATGGCTACGGCGGCTTCAACATATCTATCACACCCAACTACAGGTAAGCAGAGGATACTCTTGGAACTTCAGCGTATATTTAATCCTCACCATAGAGTGGGAAGAGACCAGAGACTAGACTATTAACTCATTTTTAAAGTATATTTAACTGTATATTTCTTGCTTGTTTTTGTGGAGGAGCAGGGTTGTGTGTTAAGTATGTATACTTTGGGTCAGGAATTTCAGGATCGTTTACAAGCTAATTTTATGTCTTCAGTGAACGGGTTGTTTGAGAACTAGATGCTGAGGCTATATATAGCTGCCAGGCTACAGAAGGTTAGCATCAACTGAGGTCTTACAGAAAGGAAGCTTGTACCTTCAGTGTTTATCATTTGCTGTCACGCCACTGTCCTCAGTATTCTTTTCAGAGGGAATGTTTTTTCAGCTAATGATTATATTTTTCAGCAGCACAGAGTCTTAAAATAGACCATCTTAACATTCTACCACAGTATATTTTCTGTATATTCTGTTACTTCATTTTAAACTGTTCGGTTTATGTGATGATTTACCAACAAGTATTGTTCAAGGGGGGAAAATCTGCATTGGTACATTTGCTATTATTTAAACATCTTCTGTCAGTTATTTGCAAACTTGATTTCAGTATCCGATTCACAGTATAAAACGGAGTTTGTGGTGAACATTTTTGGTAAAAACGAGGAGTCTCCTACCAGCAAGACCAGCTTTAAGCCAACTTCTAAATAGAGCCTCATAGGAAATCTGGTCATATTCAGGAAGAAATGTATGGACAGGTGACTACCAGGACATAAATTCAGAGTAGATTCAAATAGCTGCCCAAAATTTGAAGACAAGGAAACTGTTACTTTGTTTTGAACCTTTGACAGCTAAGTACTTAGGACTTGATCAAGTATGAAACACGGTCCCTGCCCTGAAATACTTGATATTATGAACTGCCTTGGATATCTGCTTAAAGAGTTTGATTTTATCCTTTTGTTAGTGACAAGCTAATGAAGTTGTAAAATCATCATGTAGACCAATATTTTCAGAGGATTTGTGAGGCATCATTACGTGAATAAAATGAAGGGAAGCCAGTCAGATGAGTGGAGTAATGGTTGCTCTTCATTCACTGTCCAGCGACAGTGCTATTTCTACGTCCTGCAAGCCGCCTCCGCACCAACCATTGTTCTAGGCAGGGCCTGAGCTACAGGTGGGCTGCCATGTCATTGTGTGCCCCTCTTTATCACTCAAAGTGATGAAATCCAAGCTTCAGTGAACAAGTCAGAGACTTGCACCCTGAGCCTCGCTTCCCTTAGTCGCTACAGTGGGACTTAGAGACAACATGGATTTCTCCGCTGATCTGTTGTAGCTAAAACTGCTTATCTTCGTTCATTTGTACAAATAGCTATTAATCCTGCTCTTTGGGGATTTGAGAGATGACTAAGGGAGGGTCCCTGTACCATTTTTATCCCAGGACCCAGCAGATAGGCTGGGAGCTTCCGTAGAGACCATCAAGGGTACATGAAAAATTCTGATGAGAAGACCAAATGATTGGAAATCCATTTGGCCAATCCAGTCGTGTGGTATGACCGCCTCCCCAGACTCCCTTTCTCTGCATCCTCAAGACTCGGGAAATTACCACTCAGGCCATCTAGAGTCCCAGGTTACAGAGACCTGCATTTCCCCAGTTACTAAAAGGGGAGAACGATAAAATTTTCATGAACATTTCTCAAAACACAATTTTAGCTAACAGAAAATAGATGTCATTCAGCACTGTGAGGGTCAGACTGGAAAGAGGAAGAGAAAACAAAATCCAAATTTCCCAAAGGACTTACTTAACTCTTTCTCCTAGCAACTTTATGCTATAGTGTCTTATTTAGTGCTTGTTTATAGTGCTTATTTAGTGCTTATTTCCAGAAAACCTTCTCCAGCCCTGAGACCTCCATGCTTGCTTTCTGGCCTGTGTCCTTGGTCTCCTCTACCTCTCTCACACCTTGTGTTACCTAATTTAGCATCTTAATGTCTGTAAAACTGGAAACACTCTTTAAAACCCATATTTTAAAGAGGTTTCTTTCTTCCAACTTGCATAGTTAGGAGAAAGATACCAGAAACAGTGGAGCAGGGACCACCACTAGGGATTCCTGCCAGCCCAGAGCTATTCACACCAGGGCTGTGTCATGTGGCTGGTGATACTCAGTTTGCCGATACAGTTGTTTAAAAGATGGACTCAGTATGAAATGAGGGCTTCTGGTTCTTTCTCTGTTTGCATTGTGAATCATGTATTACCAGGGTGCCTGGGTGTCTCAGTCGGTTGAGCGTCCAACTCTTGATTTTGGCTCTGGTCATGATCCCAGGGTTGCAGGATCAGGTCCCACATGGGGCTTCATGCTGACTGTGGAGCCTATTTAAGATTCTCTCCCTCTCTCTTTCTCCCTCTTCCTTTGCCCCTCTGCCCCACTTGCACACACACACTCTCTCTCTAAAAATAAAGTTTAAAAAATGAATTATGTATTCCCACTTCGTATAGTAAAATATTTACCAGTATGGAAAAATGAGATAAACCGAATGTTCATGAAAATGTATGAACTTTGCAGTTAAACATTAATCAGAACTTTTATATTTTTCACTTTAATCAAATAATACAAAAATATGAATCTCCTATTTCAGTATTTTACATGTGGAATGTCTTCAGGGATATATTTTCTTTTTGATGGAGGGAGACAACATGGTCCTTACCAGGCAGTTAACAGAAGGTTAACTATTTGTTCTGTTTCTCAGTGTGTCCAGGCTCATCTTTGTGAGGCACATGGGTGGTGTCCTTGCAGTGGCCAACATCAGAGGAGGCGGCGAATACGGAGAGACGTGGCATAAAGGTGAAGTATTTTCTCTACAGAAACACAGACATGGCATAGCAAAAGCTACATCTGAATGAGCTGACGGGGTCAGGAGCAGAAAAGTGTTTGGCTAGACAAGTGAAAAATAAGGTATTTTCAAACATGTTGCAGGCACCACTGCCCCTCTAAAAACAAGTCCGTGTTTTCACATTTTGTTTCCCTTTGTAATCTGTTTATTTTAATTTAATAAAGTGTGTATTTTTCCAAAACATACCTTTTAGACCATAATCAGAATTGGTGGGTTTTTTTTTTGTTTTGTTTTCATTTTTGTTTTGTTTTTTAGCAATGCACTAGGTACATTTTTATCTATCACTGTCAAAAGTGAATCTGCAGGGCACTTTTTGGTATTTATTCTGTCTCTTCTTAGTAAATACCAGGTTGGTTGTGTGGCATTATTTGGCTCTCTCAAATAGGTCATTTTCTCTTAAAAGAAAAAGAGCAATCTAAAATAGAGCTTCCTGGGCATTTCTTTCCTTGTTTTCTCTGATTTTCCCATGATTGCTGAGAAGTAGCATCCTCCTGGCCTTGCTGCTGTGACTCCATGATGGGCAGGTTTTAGACCCAGGAGCTCCGTCCTTTGTCTTTTCTGGTTTTAATGATTTAGGCTCCGGTCTCTGGGCTCCTGAAACATGTATTCCAGTTGGCTGAGAGTACTGCTTCTATATGAAACTTCATTCTCCAAACTGTAATAATTTTTTAAAGCCCTAACTCTTCCTTTTCTTTATATATGGGGTACATCCTTTCTCCCAGCCTTTTGTGTATCTGGAATTCATAGACTAACCAATAGCTGGAGGAGGATGCAGGAACACACGTTCACCCTCACAGCCCCAGGTTTCTCCCCTCTCTTGACCCTTGACCATCATTTATGAGAAAGCCTGCTAGGACAAAGGTGGCCACCAGTGCTTGGTCAGCAGCCCCAGGTTAAAGGGGTCTTTTCCCACAGTAGGAACAGCAGATCTGTGTATATCTACTTGTTCCCAAATTTGAGGCCTTTTCTGCATCAAATCCAGTCCGCAATGATGAGGATAGATCTGTAAAGAGATTTTTCAGAAGTACCTGTTACATGTCAAGATGTAGGAAAGGCCAGGTCTGACTGAACATTCACCAAGCACCCCAAGGGCTGACATCAGATAAATTATTCGAGCATCTTAGCAAGAGTATTTCTCATTAACAAATGGGCTCCTGACCTGCCTGCCATCATTAGGTCAACTACTCCCATGTGTCATCCCCAAAGACTTTATCAATGGTCATTGTGTAATTTTGACCCTGACCTGATATTAAGAGTTTAATTACATTAAAATCATACTGTGATATTAAGAGATGATTGATCAAATAAAATCTCTACATACCATATATTTGACTCGTATCCCAAATCCGTATGCTAAGTCTGGATCACCTGAAACACCTGATTTACTAATGACAACGTTTGTTTTAACTCACATACACCCCTACGTGGACTCCTGGTCCTGTGGCCCTCTCCTGGAGAACCCAGATTCTTCCCCATAAAACCCCTCTGGTCGTCAGGTGTCTACCATGCTATGTATGATAGGCACAGTGCTCTTTCTCATCTCTGTATTAATTAGAACCAACTTATTGTCCAAAAGCCCTGGGTGGAGTTTGGAGCTTGAGGGAGGCTAAGAGTAGACGATCTGTGCCGTGTTTAAACTGATTCATAAACTTCTCCAGATTTAGGCATAGGACCAGAAATGTACTTTTCCAGTTAGACCCCAGTATACTGAACATTGATATATCTAAATTCCATTCTGTTTATGTATGGAGTTTAAAATTTAGTGCTCTTTAGAAAATATAGTCATATACCCAAAATGATATTATTTCTGGAAACTAAGTAATCCTAGCTGTTCTAATTCACTGATAATTTCTGATTAAAATTTTAATAACATTTGTTTTGATATGAAAAAATTTCTTCGTAGCACTGCTTCATCTTTAATTGAATTTCTGTAGAAGTGGTTAATCTCAGATATCTAATTAGAGCTATGCCTGCTTCTTGTTCATTTCATAGGCAGTTATTTCAGACATCTGTTCTTTTGAGGGTACATCTTTGACTTTTGGCCTTCACTTTTAGATATTCCAAGACCTTACAAATGTTCCTCTCTTTACATAATTTGCATGGTTGTATACATTGGATGACTTCTAGATGAGGAAATCCGGATTCTCTGGGGAGATGTCTGAGATCTTCATTCAAGAACTGAGGAACTGTAATAGGCTGCTCTCTGCAGCACTACCTTCCCACCTAATTCCTGCTTACATTCCTTAATTAAGAGCAAAACCGAAGAACTTCTTTCTCATCGTTAGGATTTCAGTCTCCTGCAAAGGGGAGAGGGCTGAGAAGCACACCTGTGCAGAGCACTGCCGTCGTCCCCGGGTGGGGGAGGCACACACAGCCCCATCATGTTCACTAGGTGGAGCTCAGAAAGGGTTGAGCACAGCTCGAGGTTAAGTTCAGCTTCTCCAAAACCTAGGTTCGTTCTGATTACATGCTTTCATACTTTGGTCCTCATGGTTCTCTGACATAACAGATCATCTCTTCTCTTTGGGGCACTGCCATTGTATTTAGAAAAATACAAATCCACCGTATGGCTTGGTGATTGTGGTATTGATGGATTTCCATGATGCATATTCTTAACGTGGTGTCAGCCCATTGTGTTTAAGTGATCAATAGTTGAAACTCTGCCCTATCATTTGAATTCCATTTAGGTTAAAATTGTCTTTTTTTAATGTTTTGTTTCTTAACCAGTCTTTCACTTTGGCACATTGCAGGTGGTATCTTGGCAAACAAACAGAACTGCTTTGATGACTTTCAGCATGCTGCAGAATATCTCATCAAGGAAGGTTACACATCTCCCAAGAGGCTGACTATTAATGGAGGTTCAAATGGAGGCCTCTTAGTGGGTGAGAACTGGATTTTATTGTACTTACTAGTTAACACTCTGGGGGTTTTCAGATACACTGTAGACAGCTCTTGATTTACTTGGCTCATGGATGGGAGCAGTGGTCCAAAGATAACAAAACCCATTTGTATTGGAGTAGGTACCTGATAAATGACACATAAAGACCCAGCTGAGGGGCACCTGGGTGGCTCTGTCGGTTAAGCGTTCGACTTCAGCTCAGGTCATGATCTCATAGTTCATGGGTTTGAGCCCCACATCAGGCTCTGCTGACAGCTCGGAGCCTGCTTCAGATTTTATGTGTGTCTCTCTCTCTGCCCCTCCCCAACTCACACTCTGTCTCTCTCCCTCTCTCTGAAACGTAAATAAACATTAAAAAAAAAGATACTGCTGAACCCATCTTACGTAGACTTGATTCATGATAGCCTGAAAAGCTGTCCCACCTGTCTGCCCTGAGCTCTTCTGAGCTGCACACTGGGTAGGACCCTGTCCCCACACGGATCCACAGGTTTAGAGAGTTCAGCCATCATGGGACTGAGCCTGATAACCCCTATGGTTGTGCTACTGAGAACTTGCATGATCATCATGAAACATTTGTTGAACACCTGTGCTGTGGGTGCAGCGAGAGGAGAGATGGAGAAAATGAGGTAGCATACAGATGGATGCACAGCGTAACAGTAATGAGCGAGTTCATACTGTTAGTTCTCACTTGCTGAGCACCTGTGCTGGGCCCAGGGCTGAGCTCTTCTCATGCATATTCTCATTTGACACTCACACAGCCCAAGAGACAGGAACTGACTGGGATTGGGTTATTCCCGTTTTCCTGATGACTCAGGAGCACTGAAGGTTGAGTAGCTTGTCTAGGGTCACACAGCTGGAAAGTGTGTGATGCTGGGGTTGCACCCCGACACTATGGTTTTAGAGTCTCCTTTCACCTGTAAGTGGCACTGCCTCAAAGTGGCTTGTCCTAATTTTCGGTAGTTAAATTTCACTTGGTAACGAACATTTATGGGCTTTGCTTGCTAGGGTCCTACACCCAACGTCATTAGGATATGACGGGCCGTTGTACAAATGTAGGCTGGACTTACAGGCACAAGTTAAAAACACATGTGAAAATCCACTGTTTTGGAAGAGGGTTCAGGGAGGACAGCACATTCACTTAGTTTCCTTATCCTTGAAATGTACTGAGTCATTGCAAAACCTGAATACCTACCTGTTTTTACTCTTTACCCCTCTTGTAAAGAGGGGTAGTCTTGTAAAAAATAGAATATAGTCTTGTGAAAAAATTTTCCCATGGAGGTAAAATACATACGTCCAAAATAATTTGTTCAAATTTAGACAGGGCATTGATACAGTTTCAAACAACACAGACACCACCTCTGACCCCACGGAGCTTTTGTTCTAGTGGAGGAGGCAGACAACACACCAAAGGCCCTGAGGCCAGCAAGAGCACAGAGCATTCTGGTGACAGTAAAGAGGCCCACGTCTGTTGCTGGGCATGGTGAGCGAGGGAGAGTGTCAGGAGAGAAGAGAGACGGCAGGAGGCGAAAGCAGGCAGGACCCCGTAGCCAGTGTAGAGGACCCAGTTTACTCTGTGAAATAAGAAGCCTTTGGGGGAGTGTCATAATTTGACTTATTTTGTGATGGGATCAATCAGGGCAGACGGAAGGGGAGGTGAGGGCAGAAAGGCAGGCGGCCAGGGAGGAGGCCTCCATCCCAGTGAGGCCCAGTGGTGGCGTGGCCCTGGAGTGTGGCGATGGAGGTAGCAAGAAGGGAGCAGATTCTGGGTGTGTCCTGAATTTGAGTGAACTGAATTTGCACGTGGATTGTATGTGAAGGTGTAAAAGAGAAGCATTAAGGGCAAATCTAAGATTTAATGAGAAGGGATATTGAAAATACCATCTGATTCTAATAGTGGGAGAATTGTTCTATAATTTACTCTTTCATCCAATAACTCCTTTATGTTTTCAGTTTGATATTCAGGAACTGGTTTATGTCTTTTGGCAAACCTGGTCCCATGAGGAACTTGCAGAATTGGATTTCCCTTTGTCAGTGTGTTGAATGCTTATTAAAAAGGGGCTTATGAAAAGCCCCTCTCACATCTGAGTGAGAGAATCAGGGTCCCCCAGGGTAGGACTCAGGATCTGGCATTATGAATGAGGACTGAAATCAGAATTAGGGTGCGAACTAGGTTTTTTGCCAGAGGCAGGAAAAGCCCAGATTTTCTTGACTAACTCTTCGTCATGCCAGCTTTGATGTGACTGCCCTGCAAAGCCTCCCTATCTGCCTTACACCGGGTTGGGTACCCCTACCCCCCACTTCCATAGCACCCAGACTTGCCCATACTGGAATTGCTTGTTCACTTATCTTTCCCACTAAAACATTTACTGGTATATCTCCAGTGCCGGCACACAGCAGGATGTTCAATAAACACTTGTTGAATTATCAAAACAAAGAAATACATTTATATAACTTAAGTATACAAAGAAGAATATTTTAAAACAGTACAAGAATGTGTACTGTTTAGTTGATTAATTAGAGCCCGTTCTGGGTTTCAGGCCCTGCCTTGGGCTGTATGAACAGTTTGTACTCACGACACTTCCCACACCACGTGTGTGGGGTTTTCCCCCAACATCAACCAATTCTCCAACTCTCCAGACACCCACTGGATGTCTTACAGCTCAGTTCGGTTCTGATACTGCCCACAGTCAGCACAGACTCCACAAGGCAAGAACTCCGACTCACAAAACTGCCCCCACTTCAGACACCCAAGTCCAAGCCTCTTGTATTTCTGACTGACTGGCTATCAGTTGGGGTTCCCATACCTGCCTCCTCAGGTTTGAGAATCTGCCAGAACAGTTCTTAGACCTGAGGAACAGTAAGATGGAAGACATGCATAGAGTAGGGGATGGGGTAGAGGGGTGCTCACAGAACTTCCATGCCCTCTCCGGGAATGCCACCCATCCAGTATTTCAGTGTGTTCGCCAACCTGGAAGCTCTTTGAACTCCACTGTTAAGGGGTTTTACGGAGGTTCTATTGTGCAGGCATGATAGACTAAATCATTAGCTGTTATTCAATTTTCAGCCCCTCCCTCCCCAGAGGTCAGGGGTGGGGATTAAAGATCCACCTCTCCAATCACATGCTTGGCTCTTCTGGCCACCAGTCCCCACCATGTAGCCATCTAGGGAACCACCAAGAGTCACCTCTTTAGCATAAACTCAGGTATGGTTGAAAGGGGCCAGTTATTTCTTACCCCTATCACTCAGGAAATCCCAAGAGTTTTAGGAGTTCTGTGCTAGGAACTGGGGACAGGGACTAAATATATATTTCTTATTATGTCATAGATCCTGAACAAGTTTTCTTCGTGGAAACAAAAAAAAAAAAAAAAAAAAAGGAAAGGGAGCAGGAGACACAGATTTTCCAGGAAGTCCTTGAGTTTTTCCAAATAACACTCCCCTATTGAGATTCACTTTGGGGAATAAAGCTCTATTCCTGGTGAGAATACCCTACCCCTCAGATATAGTGAAAGGAGGGAGAAAAGCTTATGGCCATTAGGCAGGGGATTTATGATGGTTTCTTCCTGTGCTCTAGGAAAAAGGATAACCATGGTTCTGAAAATATTTAAAGTGTTATTTTGTTTTTGTTTATTTAGATGTTTAATGAGAGACTGCCTCCCTTTTCTATCTTGGTTTTCAGCTGCTTGTGCAAATCAGCGTCCTGACCTCTTCGGTTGTGTTATTGCCCAAGTTGGAGTAATGGACATGCTGAAGTTCCATAAATATACCATTGGTCATGCCTGGACCACCGATTATGGGTGCTCAGACAGCAAACAACACTTCGAATGGCTTATCAAGTAAGGTTTGAATTCATATTGATATATATACATATACGTATATATACAGATATACGTATACATATTATGTGTGTATATATGTGTGTGTGTGTGTTGCTAACCGTGTGATATTATACTACTGAACAGAGTCAAAAAGGTAAGTGTTTGACTCTTTGTTCTCTACAGTTTCTCATATTTGCATATAACTTACTGCAAAAGTAGGGAAAGTGATGGGAATACCTATGTGTCTTCCTTGTTTTGATCTTTAACAACAACAAACTACAAAGATGTGATAGGCAGACTTATAAGCCCCACCCCACCCCAGATTCCTGTCCCCTGGTTTCTTTCATCAGACACTAATCTGGGTGCTGCTGTGAAGGGACTTTGTAGATTAAATTAAGGTCACCAGTCAGCTCATCTTAAAATAAGGAGATAATCCTGGATTACTGAAGTGGGCCCAGTCTAGTGACTAACCCTTAAAGGCAGAGCACTTTCTCTGGCTGGAGTCAGGGAATGCAGCAGAAAGGGAGGTCAGATTGGAATCATGAGGGCTAGATCTGCCATTGCTGGCTTTGAAAATGGGGGAAGGGCCTGTGGGACCTGAGAACAGTCCCCAGCCATCATTCAGTCATCAAAGAAATGGAAACCTCAGTCCTGTAACCACATGGGAACTGAATGAGTCTGGAAATAGATTTACTTCCCAGAATTTCCTGATAAGAGCCCAGCCAGCCGACACCTGGATTTCAGCTGAGACCCAGAGCAGAGAAGCCAGTTGGGCCAGCCCAGACATCTGACCAAAAGAACTGTGAGAATCTATGTGGGGCACCTGGGTGGTTCAGTCAGTTGAGCATCCAGCTCAGGTCATAATCCCAAGGTCATGGGATCCAGCCCCATGAATCAGGCTCTGCACTGAGCAGGCTCCCTGCTCGGGATTCTTTCTCTTAAGGGAAAAAAAAAAAAAAAAAAAAGATATCTGTGTTGTTTTAAAAGCTGCCAAACTTATGGTAATTTGTTATCCTAGCAATCACAAAATAATAGAAAAAGGTGTCATCATACTTTACATCTATATATGGAATTTTTTAAGAAGGAAATAGAGATGTATGCAAGTACATTAAACTTATTTTGTTCTCTCAGTGTAACCATGTATATTTGAAACTACATCACATTATGAAAGTATTGCACAGCTTCATTCCTCGCCTTCAACCACTTTGGCAAGAACAGTGAGAAAATGGCAGGTGTTCAGACTCTTCGAGACTGCAAGCTACATTCTTTTCACTTCCCACATTTAGGGGTTTGGAGACCGTTATCAGCAGCAGTTAGGAATTGCCCTTAGGATGGTGGAAGAGCTCTGTGTCCCCTGTCCCAACCTTCTTAGTCAACTTTAAATTTCAGTACAATAATTTCTCCAAAAACTTTTTCTTTCAGTGTTTTTTGTGGCTAGCTCCTCACTTAGAGATTCAGCTAAAATGACTAAAGTTTTTTCGTTAAATACTTTTAAACACAGATAACCTCATTGGCAAATACCAGTAAAAGCTGAATATTTAAAGAGGCTCTAGTTCAAATTAAAGAAAATACACACGTAGGGAGAGAAGTCCCATCTAAACTCAGTTGAAAATACTGACTGAATTGTTTATCAAAGGCAACAAAATATTCAATGGAACTTAATACTTCTAAAATTAATTTGGGGGGAAAGAAGGTTCTAAGTATTTTTTTCTCTCAAGATGTCTGGGATATTCCTACTTTAGACTTTAATTTTCCAAACTGGTACTTGCAGGGCAGTAGTTTCCTCATACCTCCTGTTCCCAAATGAGCAGAGAGCTCAGCCCTACACCACAAGCTGAGCCAGAGGGGGCCTTACCGGGAGCTGCTCAAACCCTGCAGCGTGTCCCATGAAGCACCGTCCGGAGACTAAAGGGGGTCTCCCCAATGAAGGAGCTGAATTTCCAAGTTTGGGAATAGCTTCAATAAATTTTCTACAGAACTTCTCAGAATCTTTGATGTATAAGTGTGGCATGTGTGTGAATCTCACAGGTAGGGGTTGGTATTCTGAGTAGGCAGAGTTTTCCAAACCTTTTTCCCCGAGAACTAACCCTTATCTGGGGTTGATCCAAGAGCACTCTTAAATGAACCAGAAAACCGATCCATTGCCACCCCCCTCTTTTCTGTTGGGAGGCTTACCTCCAGAACTTCTCAGTCTTGATATGGTTAAGTGAGCAGAAATTTTACTGTTTTTGACTATTCACCCTCCAAATAAAACTCTACTAAAATAGTTGATGGTATTCATTAATACCGAACGCTCTGCAAGACATGATGTCCATATTGAGTCAGATGTGAAGAAAAAATAAGACATCTTGCTCACCTAACTACTATCAATTACTGTTTAATTTGGCTACACTTTTATTCTTAAAACCCTTTTGTTAGCTTACCTGGAAGGCTGTGCTTCAGAAGGCGCCTCCTCTCTGCTCCTCCGCTAACTCCATCAGCATCGGCCAAAGGCCGTTTCTTCCTGCTGGCCTGTGAGAGCCGGCAAGAGGCCCAGAGGGGACCCGTGTTCTTCCCAAGACTGCCAAGCTGAGCCTGGAATAAAAGTTTTATAGATATTAAAGGGGCAAAAAGCTGTAACTTGAAATTCAAAGTTTTCCAACAAAAGAAAGGCTTGCACCTATGACGTCCGCAATCAGTGGTTTAAAGTCAGTCCGCTTTGTAGTCGCGAAAAAGTAAGTCTAAAGAGTACGGGAATCATTCAAGACCGTAAGTGTACATATATAGTTACGGTCATTTCAACAGCCCCGTGAGTTTTTTGCTTTTTACAGTCTTCCAAAGCGCGAGCAAATACATGACACCGCTGCCCGGTTTCCAACAGCGCAGCCCGCTAGGGCCCAGCTGACGATGCAGGCAGGGTCTGTGGCGGTCCCCCGTGTGCCAGCTAGCTGCAGCCGTCGCTGGAGAAGTTAAGCTGCTACGCTGCCTCGCTCACTGGGCCCACCAGTCCTCCTTGATGAGCCTAGCGAACAAACAACTTTGCTTTAGATATCTGGCCCCACGAAACTGCCTTTGTCTTTCAGATATTCTCCGTTGCATAACGTGAAGTTACCGGAGGCAGACGACATCCAGTACCCGTCCATGCTTCTCCTCACCGCCGACCACGATGACCGCGTGGTCCCGCTCCACTCCCTGAAGTTCATTGCCACCCTTCAGTACATCGTGGGCCGTAGCCGGAAGCAGAGCAACCCCCTGCTTATCCACGTGGACACCAAGGCAGGCCACGGGGCTGGGAAGCCCACGGCCAAAGTGATAGAAGAAGTCTCGGATATGTTTGCATTCATAGCACGGTGCCTGAACATCGACTGGATTCAGTAAATGGAATTTCCCACTCCCTCCTGACAGCCGGGGAAAACCTCAAGGGCTTTCACACCGTTAACCCGGAGAAACCACTGGGCATCATGCTTCCCCACGTGGACACTATTCCCGCACTCACAGACTGCAGTTGAACAGAACTGCTGCGGGAATTTTATCTTTTTTAGGCTTCTCCTTTTTAGCAAGCCCTTGGCGTTTCTTTTTCCACCCTGTGCAGGCACATGTTTTAAAAAAAAAAAAAAAATTAAAAAGGCATGTTTGGATAAATAGCTAAATGGCAGCCAACACATCGTGAATAATCGCTGAATTCAGATCCGTAGTCGGGCACACTTCATATAGAGCACTCAGTGAAATGTGCTTCTGTAACCGTAACCAATATAGCTTTAAATGTGAGAGCTGTTCTCATGAAAAAGACTTCTTTACAACAATAATAAATGTTATTTAAGAATGGGAGGCTTGATTTCTGGTTCCTTTGTGTTGAGGGGCATTCTGGATCACATCACTTTTGTGTTGGAAAAGCAGTTCGCCTTTCCGTACAAGTTAGTTTCCAAACAAGGAAGTCCTAGAAGGCCAGCCCTGAGAAGAGGTTGAGTGCATCCATTCCAGCTCCCTGGTTTATTGTGATGCGGCCATTAGAGGCAGGCTCACTCTCCTCTGTATTAACCACTCAGCCGATCATCGGAGCCAGGGCTCTTTTGCTTTGGACACATCTTCTTAAAAAGCGGCAGACCAGAAGCTTCAGATTATTGACCTATCAGTTTGGTTACAAACTATCCTGGACATCAGAGTACCTAGCATATAAAACTAAGAGATCACACGAGTGAACTACCCAGATACATTTATCCAAACTTACCTTAAAATCAGAAATTTCAGCATTTCCCAAGCTGTTTCCCCCACGGACCACTTAGGAACAGACTTAAACAGTTTCGGTCCCTCACCCCTGCCACCCCACGTCTTTAGGAGGAGGATATACCATTCCTCAAAGTATAGTTCATAACATTTCAAGGCATTAACATCTCATGAAACACTGTTCCTTTGGGCATCAGTCTGGGAAATGCTGATCTAATTTATGAGAAGAAAACAGTTTCTTCTTTGTCTTGCTTCATCAGATGACTAAAATAAAACCACTACTTTGTAGGAAGTATCTTAACCTTAAAAAAGTTTAAAAGATCACCTCGTTATTCCATTAACTTGTACTTCCCCAGATAAGTCCGATTTTCCAGTCATACATATTTGTGCTTTTCTTTAGAGCCCTGCCTTTCACATTGAGGTCTGAAATTAGACACCGTTTTCTGTCAAGTATATATCACTACATAGCAAGCCTAGCTGAAAGGTGGCTACTTTCTCATCTAGAATCAGGTATTCTATCAGAGTTTCAATAAGAAATGTATACAGTGTGGCTGTCATCGAACATGTGATGCACTGTATCCCCCTCCCCCCGAGAAAAGTGTGCCGCCTGCTATCAGCACGTACAGACTGACATCACCACCACCCACCACCTACCGGGAGAGATGCTAACACTAGCTGCCATGCACCTGCTGACCAGCATGGCAGGGGAAAAAAATACAGTTGCATAGATAAGCTAGAGGCAGCCTTTCCCTTAGACCAGTTGGGTCATTTGAGGTACGAACAACTGGGTTGTTCCCAGTCAGTCCAGAGCACTGTCAAGCTGGCACAAAATCCAGCCCTACTTTGCCGATGAGGTCTCCTACTTAACAGTGGAAAGTGAAAATGCAGTGGGTAGGGTCTCAGCTTCAGGAGAAGTCAGTCAGGCCCAAGTTCAAATCCCAACTCTCAGTGAGTGGTAATTATGAGAAATAAGCAATACGGTACACTTATAAAAATGCCTACCAAATAATTGGTCTCTAATTGCGAGTTCTCTCACATCTAGATTTTAGCTGGTTAACTGAGCCCACAAACTGAAGGTAGCTTTTTTTTTAAATTGTTTTTAATGTTTTTTTTGAGACAGAAAATGTGGGGGAGGGGCAGAGAAGCTGAAGCAGGGTCCACGCTGACAGAAGAGAGTCTGATGTGGGGGGCTCAAACTCACAAACTGAGATCACGACCTGAGCCAAAGACGCTTAATCGACTGAGCTACTGAGGCACCCCTGCAGGTAGCTTTCTTAAGCCTTAAACATTAGAAGTATATGAGGTTGGCTCCTTCCCAAATCTCAGGTATCTCCCCTATTAGATGCCACCTTCTCCTGTCCAGTGCTCTGCCCCTCCGCTCTGTCTTACACTGATCTACGGTGTTTTGAAAACAAAGCTGCACACAGTGCACAGGTAGTCTAACTGCCTCATCACAGGGCCTTGCTACACACACCATAGAGCATTTGTGGCTTTTGTGAAATAGTCACATTTACCATGCTTCATGTGTACACACCTGGAATAGTGTAAAATTTGGCAATTACTGTGTCCTAATACTCCCACTAGAACTTCGGCAATTACACACAAATGGTGCTGCTCGCTGGAAAGATTAAATTTCACCCAAGAAAGCCTGTCACCAGTCTGTGTATTATACACAGTTTCACCAGCCTTGGGGAGTTCCCTGGGACAGACAACAAAGCCATTGACCAGAAAGGCTACAAAGACCCAAAGGTGCATGAAAGACAGGATTGAAAGCTGTGAGGGGCCCAGAAAAAAGCAGAGATCGGACTGGAATGCAATAGTCAGGCCAGTGGGATGAGGGCTGAGGCCAATGAATACGGAATATTTAGCCATAGTCTCCATCCATTCATTCTAGGGGGCAGGGGTGCCAAGAAAAAAAGTCTTGCCCTCAAGAAGTTGACCCTCCAGATGGAGAAGACAGAGGATAAATTATTTTGCTGAGTCCCCAGTGCCCCCCAGCCCTAAGCACTCTGTCCTCAAGCAACCTTACAAGCCATTTGCTACCCTTACCCCCATTCGACAAAGACCTAAGTTCCCCAGCCAGGAAGTGAACAGGCAGGGCAGTAACCCTGGCAGCTGGACCCTGGAGTCTGTACTCTTACCCACTATTGCAGTACTAAGATCATAAACAAGAGGGTTCTTGTTCAAGATCGTGACATAGGAGGGTCCTGAACTTACCTCCTCCCACAGATGCACTGAATCTACAGCTACATACAGAATAATGTCCTCTAAAAGAAACACAAGTAGATAAGTCCTATGAGTTGGGAAAATGAGAAAACACACATCGAAACAGGAGAGGCTGAGACACAATCTTACCTTACCCACCCCCCACGCCCAGCACGGCCACCCAGGGGGAACTCACAACTCAAGAGATTCTTCCTGAGGAGTGAAGGGTCTGGACCCCACATCTGGCACCCCAACTTTTCAACGTTTATTTATTTTTGGGACAGAGAGAGACAGAGCATGAACGGGGGAGGGGCAGAGAGAGAGGGAGACACAGAATCGGAAACAGGCTCCAGGCTCTGAGCCATCAGCCCAGAGCCTGACGCGGGGCTCGAACTCACGGACCGCGAGATCGTGACCTGGCTGAAGTCGGACGCTTAACGACTGTGCCACCCAGGCGCCCCATGGCACCCCAACTTTTAAGATCTGTACCTAAGAGACGAGCCCCCAAAGCATCTAGCTTTGACAGCCAATGGTGTTTGTGACCATGAGACCTGGAGGCTATAGCAAAATGAGAAGTACTTTTGTTTTCTGTAGTCTACTCACAGTTTTAATTTGAAAGATGAAAAGTCCATGAGAATAGAGAAAATTCTAAGAGTTTTAAGATCTACTCTCGGCAACTTTCAAATGTACAGCACAGTGCTATTAACTATAGTCACCATGTTGGACATGACATCCCCAAAACTTTTGGAAGTTTATGCCTTGTGACGGCTTCACCCATTTCACACACCCAAGAAACAGTTCTTAAAGGGCTCATGCAGACTGCTCTGGCCACCCCCAGAGCTCGGCGGAGAGGAAGCCAACTGAAAAGTGCCCAGTCTTCCTGTGAAAAACACCTGTGTGCTTATCTTAAAGATTTGTCCTGAGGGAGGGACAGGCTTCTAACTTAACACACACATAGCAGCCTACTGAACTACTCGGAAGACCACAGAGGCCAGTGGGAGCCATTTTCACACTCTCCTTCTGCCTCCTTCCGTGTCACCAGTATTTCCTGGAAAGGCATTCATTCACACATCTGGTGCCGTGGATTTTGCAGCTGCTGCCTAAGGGCAACCCTTGATCACACTGGGCTCTGGTGGCCTGGGGGACTTACATTTGTGAGTCTCATAGGACTGCAACAAATGGAGAAACAGTTCTTAAGCGGCTCCCTCCTCGCCAGGGCACAACACAGAGACAGCAGTCTGAAATGCACCTCTAGTATTTCTGTGAAAGAGGCCTATTAGCTTATCTTCATCACTGTGGCCTAAGGGGAAAACTTCTCATTAAAAACACATCTAAGGGAAAACTACAATCCCCTCTGGAGACCAGGGAGGCTGGCAGGTGTCATCATCTTCCTGCCTCTGTCCTGCCCCATATCATCAGAGTTTCCAGCATTTGTGGCCATACCACATCCCTTGATAGCCTGGCTTTCGTGGCCAGAGGTACTTGTGTTCACAGGGCTTGTGTTCTTGTGTTAATGGTGGCAAACAAAGAAACAGTTCTTAACTGGCTATTATCCCAAGGATCAGCACAGAGGGAGCACACAGAAATATCCAGTCTTCCCCTGAAAGAGGAATAATGGCATATTTTAAAAGCTGCTGTCTGAGTGTCTGGCTTCCAATCAGCCTGAATCTAGGTGCTGACTGAGATACTCTCCTTTAGGGCACTGAGAGATCTTGGTACACCCTCACCTACTGGAAGCCACCAAGACTATAGTAGGCTGCTTGGACAATCACAAAGGTTTGGCAGACAATCAAGAGCTAGAGCAGGGTTGAACAATAGGTTTCAATAGTAAGGTAACATGAGGTCACCCCTTCAAGAATGGGAGAAGTGGTTATTTTAAATAATAGATAAAAACCCAACACAGAGTCAAAGAAAATGAAGAAACAGGAATACCTTCCAAACAAAAGGTTAA